AAAAAAAAAAAAAAAAAAAAAAAAAAAAGGTGGGACAGGGCGGGATTTGAGTTGAGGCTTCCCATATTGCAGATGAGTAACCTCATTGCTCAGCTGCCAGATATGTTATGACCCCAGAATGTGAGCTCTAGGGCATAAGAGGACTAGAACCAGCACTGTTTACATCTGGAAATAACGTCAGCAGTCGGTTTTTGGCTGAATGTGTTCAATATTTTTTTCCATTTGAAACTTTGCGTGAAAAGATTCTTGATTTTTGGGAAGACTTGAAACACATTTTTAATTCTTTGTCAGTGGCTTAGCTCTAGTCTCAGTTTTTATGCATTTATTTTGGGTATAAAATGCCTATTAGGCTCCTATACAAAGTAATGTGCTGTGCATGTTTTTGCTGGTATCTGAATATATTTCCTAATACAAAGCCACTTGCTTAAGACTGTTGCCAATTAGTTGATTTTCTTTTTTCTTTTTTGTTAGATGAAAGGTGCACTGACTGAAATTATCCAGCTCGCTACCTTGGATTCAGACCCCTGGGTCTTAATGGTAGCTGATATTTTAAAATCCTTTCCAGATACTGGCTCCCTTAACCTTGATCTTGAAGAACAGAATCCCAATGTTCAAGATATTTTAGGAGAACTTAGAGAAAAAGGTAAGCTGTTGCTTTCTGCTTAGGTATTTGGCCTGAAAATACAAAACATTTGACAAATCCATTCAAAACACGATGGATAAAATCCTGGCTTTTGTGACTTCAAACCTAGATTTCACTCCGTATGTTCTGGGATCTACAGTGAAGCAACAAATATAGGTTTAATTCTTGTTGATAGGTTCAGTTCCATTTGAAATGCAAGGAATGATCACCTGAGCTGGAATTGGAGTAAATCTAATGTATGAAAATATCAGCTAACTTGTACTAAATGTATATCTTGTGTTTGCTTTTTCATCCTGTTTGTTTTTGTACTGAGGGAGTTCGTTTTCTACTTAGGACATACATATGTGTACATTTTAAAAAACAGTTGAACTTAGAACTGCCATGTTATAGGGTCTGTTGTCCATCTGTCCATGGTTCCTAAAGCATAGTATAATGTCTACTCTGAGGCTCTGATCCTGTAATGGACTTTGTGGGCGGACTTGTAGGGAAGGAGCCAACTATTGGGCCATATGAATAGGCTATATCTACCCTTTTGGCTCTTAGGAAGTCACCCACTGATGCAGCTCCACTGATGGTAACAGGAGTCCCCTGCGGTTCAGTGATGGACTCCTTGTCTACCACACAGGAGACTTGGGTTCGATTCCCAGACACTTCTATAACTACAGCCGTGGAGGCATCAAACATCTGGATTTAGTCTGGTCTGTGGATTCTGTCTCAGTGGCCTAAAGGGAGGATGAAAGATTTGGGCAGCCTCCCCTCCTGCAAAAAATCCTGCCCAGGCATATGCATCAAAGGTCTGGGTGGCCCTTATGCATACACCATGATCCAGGAGGATCAACGGTTGCCACTGATGGTAACAGCAGTGACAGTGCTAGCATAGACTAATTTTGCAGTTTTAATCAAATATAGATTTCTTGATAGTAAAACTGTTTTATCTATGTGTGTGGTAGTGCTGCCGTAATTACTTTAGCAAGCGATGCTATACAGTTGTTGGTACTAGCTGCAACTGTAGAAATGTTGGGGGATTTTAATGGACAGAGATGGTCTTGGGGCCCTACAGTGGAGTAGGTTAATAGCAAAACTCCTTGGAGATGGAACTCTGCACTTTTCAGAACAGAAGAGTGTCCTTTTACTAGTTCCAGTAATTTGTTGGTATTTTGTGGCTGGCCAGGTTGCTTGTACTTTTGAGATGTCTGAGAGTTAAACCTCAGCTTCTTTTAAATCTTTGTTCTCTGCAAAAAGACTCTTAAAATGGCTTTATATTTTACAAGGCAAATCTTACTGTACTTTTCTCCACCTTGGCAACAGGGTTACTAGAATATAAATTAATTGGCAGGTTTCTGGACCTCTGGCATAAAATGGTAGTTACCTTTGTTATTTGAACAGGTATTCTGAAGTTTAAAACCCGCTTTGCAAAACTATGTAATGGTCTTGTAATCAGCTGTAGAAGAGGCATTTATACCCACGTGTATTATTAATTCTTTACACAGTAAGCGAATGTGAAACTTCAGCTATGTTGCCGTTGGAATGCCAGTACTTAAACAAAAATGCCTTGACAACACTTGCTGGGCCACTTACTCCCCCAGTGAAACATTTCCAGCTGAAAAGGAAACCCAAAAGCGCCACTCTTCGAGCAGAACTCTTGCAGAAGTGTAAGTACTATCCCAGCTAGTTAATCAAATATTTATGCAAACTGGTTGGTAAAGGGGAAGTACAGAACTCTGTTGTATTCTTCAGTTCAGGAATGTACATTGTATCTTCCCTTCTTAACAAGGTTATGCATCAGCTTGTGTAAAACTGCATCTTAGCAAAATAAAAGCAGGTGTGAACCTAACCAAATCATTTGGGTAATTACTGAATTAATGTGCTCTTGTAGTTTTAAAATGGTATTTAGATTTCAAAGTTCACAAGATTTGTTTGTTTTAATAGCAACGTTGCATACACTGTCTTACATTTAATAGTTAGTTGTAGAAACTTGCTAGGGAAAGCCTTCGTTAAGATTCTTGCCACAAAAAAAATGAAATCGAAATGTAACTGAGCTTTATTTTGCCGTATGTTTTTGCAACAGGGAGCATAGGCAGTAAGCACGTGCTTTCCTGTGCTCAGTAGGCTTATTGAGGATGAAATCCAAAAGCCTTTTCACTAACAAAAAGGCAGAAAAAATAGTCTTAACTCCTTTAACTGGCTGAACTTAAAATATTTTACTGCATGCACATAGCACTCTGTAGCAATTCATGTATATGTTGTGACCTGATTAGTCAGTTTGAATGGAAAATATCAGTATGTGTAGCTTGGTATTTTTAATGAACTTCTATTTCTCTCTCCTGCTTTTTCCTATCAAGTAGATTGTGTTACTCTAATTCAAACAATGATATTAGCTGCACAAGCCCTTTTAATTCTGCTTTCTACTAGTATTTTATTACATGATTAATAATTGAAACAGATCACCAGCATTTGATCAAAAATAATTTTCATTGTGAAAAATAGGATTGTCCACACTAGACTAAACTTCAGAAGGCTCTTATGTAGGAAATATAGTAGTGTACGTTTCAGTGAAGATTTAGTAATAATTATAGCTTTTCTCCTTTTAGCAACCGAAACAGCACAACAACTCAAGAAGACTGCAGGAGTGCCTTTCCATGCCAAAGGGAGAGGGCTGGTCAAAAAAATAGATACAACAAGTATGACTCATTTATACTATTATTATTGCTTGGTTGAGAAAAGTGTGTCTGGTTCATGTTTAGGCAAAATGCAATGCACTTCTGTTTTTATTTTAAAATTCTCTCTATGAAGTCAGAGCATTTCTGTTTTCCCTACTTAAATGTTTCTAACATCTTGTTTTAAAGGAATACGTTTTCCTTTACTTGGTTAGTACATTTACAGCACTGCCAAAAATATAGGGTTAAATGGTACCGTTAAGGAAGAGGTAGTTCGTAAGTGGCACAGTTCTAGGAGTAAATTAAGTTCTTTCTTGTTCCAGGAAGTTAGCAGTTTGAGTTTAACTTGTTACAATAGCTGTAAAAGCATATGGCTTACACTTCTGTTCCCTTCCTTTCTGTCCCTGACATTCTACTCTGGCTGTTGAGCTGGGGAAAAAGCCTAAGGTCTGTCCAGCTCTGCTGTCATTTTCATAGAACAGGATAATACACTGAGCTGAACCCAAAATGCAGCTAAGCAAAGGGATGGGACTTCTTACCTGGTTTGTCAAACCTGATGGTAATTTTGGTTAGCTATACCAAGGAGGAATTTCAAATTATTCCACAAGGAATGTTCACTGTTTGCTTTAAAAATACAGAAAGGGGGAAAATACTACTGTATTTTATTGCAGTACTTAAAATAGGCTATAAGTGTACAATATATTTATCAAGAACTATGTACAATTCTTTGTCATAAAGGAAATTATACTTAAAAACTGCATAATCAGCTCTGTCAAGCTAGCAAAATCCAAAGTGTGCCTGCCTCTTGCATTCAACAGTTATGCTATTGAACAGTTATGTTGCTTGTAATGTAAAGACGCATAAGTGACTTCTGTTGATGTGCTGCTGCATGCATTTCAGTGGGGCAGTAGCACTCCCACAGTTGAAAGGAAATCCTGGGGGAATTTTCACAGGGGTGCAAAAAGTCTGTAGGAAAGTTGTAGTATGTTCCAGGAAGCAAGGGTTGATGACTCCTTTAGAATGGTTTCTTTTAGATGACAGAGTGCCATCACTGCTAAATGTGGAAAAATGCTTAGGATGCCTACTTATAGTGTTTTATTACTGTTCAGTATTTCACTGTTGAAATGCTACTGGGCATGAAAACAGACTAAGGCATTCAGGAGGTTATTAAAGCCAGAAGTGGCTTCAACCATACAAGTTGTTCCGTAGCTTCCACTCAGCCTTTCCTGCCCTTGGTGGCTGATACTGAGGTTCCCCAGTGCTATGTTGGGGAACAGAGGAGACCAGTACTAACCATGTCATAACCAAGGTATAAGGCACTCTGTTATACCAAGTCATGAATGTGATTTCAGCAAATGCAGAACACACTTGCAATTGGAAAGGGTTGCAACAGCCAGATGTATTGATCTGGAGATTAAGAGTATTGAGTCATCTTTAGGTCTTTGCTTAACAAAGTAAAATAGATGGATAAGGTGTTCTTGGTGGAGTGAGAACTTCAAGACTTCAACATAAAAGCCAGTCTGTTTTGGCATAGAACAAATTCTACTCAGCGGAAGGAATCTGTGGTGTTATGGCATAAAAGGAATGACTCAACAAGGTTGAATTGGGCCCCTAATATGTATATTTTAGTATATTGCCATAAGGGTACTCTAAAAGGGTAATGTTTACAGCAGAAAGTATCCCTATACCTTACCTTGGTGGACTCAAAGTATGGAAAATGTAATAATGAATGTAAATCTAGTCAAGGCTTGTGACTTATAATACCTGTATGAAAAGGGTATCCAAAGTATCTCCCCTTCCCCTACTTCTGTTTTATTCTGTTTTTAACCTGAACTAAGTAGACTAGTAAGTGTTATATGCTGTGTTTCTAATATAATTTGAGGTGGTTACTTTATCCTTAGTTTATATTAATTTTAAAGTTTATGGAGTGGCCTCCTCAGTCTCTTCTTTGGTGCATGTACAGGTAACCTCTTTACAGTCAATTGGGATCAAAAGCCTTTAAGAAGTCAGTGCATTTATTTACATGGATCATGCATTTTCTGTTCTCAAGTACAGCTGCTTTTTGGCCTATCGGTAGCTTCATCAGTCCTTGTGGACAATGCCGAGAACCCTTTCCAAAAAAAAAGGAGAGGGCTGGAGGTGCATAGTTTTTTCTTGTTGAAAGAAAGTTGATGATCAAGATGCTCTGTCCCATATCTTCTAATTTCTTTGTAGCATCTAAAAATTATGGTAAATGCCTTGCTGCTTTTATGGATGCACCCAGATAAATGTTGAAAGAACATTTTATGTGCAAAATCAAGCAATTCAAAGCAGTTTTGGACCCCTTGTTACTTGATTACCAAGCCTATGCACAAATAGGTTCTTCCCCATCTTCATTTGGTGGGGCCTATCCCTGTCATTTCCTGTTATTTCAAAGTTAATACTCAGTAGTTCTGTAGTTTCCTTCAGCCAGTTCCTTAAGTACTAGATGCATCTATGCTGTTTTGAAAACATCCTGCTATTGAAGTAATCTTTTCCCTACACTGAGCTGATTATCTGCTTACTGTGAGCTATTTTGAATGTGGTAGCTAAACTTTTAGCTTCAACCTTCTCTGTATCAAGTATTATTAGGTTCATCTCCTGAGTCAGTAAGGGACCTAGCTTTTCTGTGGTGTTCCTCTTTCTTCTGGTATATTCATTGCCTTTTTATTTCCTTTGCTAGCAGTATCTCAATTTGTGCCTTGGCCTTCCTGATTTTTGTCCCCACGTCGCTGTAATAAACTGTTATTATTTTAGGTGAATATAATGGTCTTTTTCACTTTTTAGAAGATGCCTTTTTAAGTTGCAGGCTAGTCTCTTGCTGCACTTCCTGTCCATCCTTCACATCAGCATAGCATGCTTTTGTTCTGAAGGTTAGTTAACTTTTCTGGATTCCTTCTTCCCTTAGACTTGCCTCCCATGGAATCTTGCCCCCTAGTTTTGAGTTTGAAGTCTGTGTATCTGCAGTCCAGTGCTAAAGCACTGGAAGCCTACCAGTGCCCCAATCACTATAATAAAATAAATTCTAAATACCTGTAAATGTTGGCATTTGTAGCCCTGAGCAGCCCTGATATACTGATGCCCTGCACATGCCTTTGCCCCTCACTCGCAAGCCACAGCTCCCCCCCACCTGCTGGTGCCCGGCTAGAGGGGCCCCCAGCTGCCAGGGCTTTGAAACCAAGTACCCAGGTCTGCAGCCCCCTGCCCTCCCCAGCAGTGCTTGAGCCCCAGCTGCCACCTGCGGGAGGCAGCAGCTACTGCAGCGGAGTGGAGTATGGAGCCTGGCTCTCCCACCCCCATAGGCAACAAGGCTGAAGTGGGGCCTGTCAGGGGGAGGGGTGAATGTGGGCTGCCTGTTGTGGGCTTGAGACTCCCTACCCTGCTTTCCCCCTGGGGTTTCCGCAGCCCCACCAGGGCAGACCACAGCAGGGAGGATCAGTGCCGCTGCTGGGAGCCTGGTGCCATGGCAAGGCACCCCTGCTTGCCCAGTGCTGCCATGGCAATGCATCCCCTGCTCGCCCAACAGCAGTGGGGGAGGCAGCGTGGGCTTGTGCCCCCTGCTGCTTTCACATGGGCGGGGGCATCTCACCATGGCTTTGCAGGGCTCCTGGCAGCAGCACCAAACCTCCCTGCCCTGCTCTTCCCTGCTGCGCTGGGTCCTACCTGCTGGGTTGCAGAGGTCCCAGGGAGGAGGGCAGCAGGGCAGGGAGCCCACAGCCACCAGTGCGCCCCTTCCCTATGCACAAGTATGGGGGGCACATACCCCCTTGCTCCCCACCACAGGAGTACACCCTAGATGAGCCACCCACAGCTCCATCCTGCTCCCTGCCCAGGGCCCAAGCCTTATGTACCACCTGGGCTGGGCTGGGCTGGGCAGTAGCCCTAGGCCAACTTGGCTCCCTCCTGCACTATAGAGGGCCTCAATTCCCCTCCCCCCCCACAACTTACCAGCGGGGAGCTGCAAGAACTCTGCAGGCTGCCTGGCTGCCATGTGCATGTGTGAGCGTGCGCATGACCTGGTACCCCCTGCTGACCGCTCTCCTGCTCCCCCCCAGCCCATTGCAGGCTGGAATTCTGCCAGCTTGCAAGGGGGAAATTGGCCTTTTCCTGTGTTTTATCTCTTTTTAAAAGGATAAAATCTGGGTTTTACTGTGGTTTTTTTTTCCATGACAAACAGAAAATACAGATCCCTGCTGATCACTGATACTCAAGTTGCCTTCCTTCAGGTTCTCAGTCATCACCTCTTTATTAGAAATAAGTATATTGAGCCCCCTTTACCCTGTTGATTTTTTTCCCCATCATCTGTACTGAAAAGGTTGCTCCCAGCACAGTCAAAAAAACAAAAACTGATTGGACCTACCTCATCTGTCCTTTCTGGACCAAATTTATACCCATCCTTAACAATATTCCTGTAATGCAATCTGTGCCACCAAGTCTGTTATCCCATCTAAGATCATAATTTGATGTGTACTAAGAAGTCCAGTTTTTTCTGCTTATTCCTCATGCTTCTTGCACCCTAAGATAGTGACTAGTTGATTGCCCTGCTCATGATTTACTCATGACCTTTTTCATACTCCCCACATTGTCCCCTTTAGCCTTTTATCCATATCATCTTTTTCTTTACCTGTGGGACTTGCTCAATCCTGTTGAACCTAGTTTTAAGGCCCTCCTCACTAGGTCACAGAGCCTTTGTGCAAAATAAGTTCTTCCCTCCTTCATTAGGTGGGTCCTTGTTCAGCAAGCCCTCTTCCTTGAGCACCACACTATTGCCAAAGAAACCAAAGCCCCTCAAGCAACACCATCTGCACACCAGTGTGTTTAAACTCCCAGTTGCATCTGCCCATGCTTGGCCTTTTAACCTCCTTGTTCCTCACATCAAAGGAATTTCTCATGTTCATATTGCTTCTTAGCATTGCCACAGCCTCCTCCCTTCATCTGTTTCCTGAAGGAATCCATTAGGAGGGATGTGTAGGGAAATGCATCCCACAAATCTAGACCGTGTCCCA